AACAAGAGACTTACTGGGCCAGTTAGCTGGGACGGGACGGGGGCAGGTGTGTCGGCCACTGCCCTGTGCCCGCTGGAACCTGTCTCGATTTGCCCGATGTCGGTACGCACCCCTGCTGCTGCAGCCGCGAACCAAGGTACCCCTAGTAATAGCTGTGGACTTGCTGGGCAGGTTGGGGGTGAGGAGGGTCGCTCAACCTTGAGTCCCTGGGCGATCCCTTTTGCCTGCCCAGCCTTCATAGACATTGTCCCCCCAGGGCCTGGTCCTGGTGCTGTTCGGGGCCCTGCTGGGACTGAGCCTGTATGGAGCCACCTGGGTGCAAGACGGGCTGACCCTGACAGATGTGGTGCCCCGGGGCACGAAGGAATATGATTTCCTGGCTGCCCAGATCAAGTACTTCTCCCTGTATGAGGTGGCCCTGGTGACCCAGGGCGGCTTCGACTACGCCCGCTCCCAAAGGGCCCTGCTGGACCTGCACAGCCGCTTCAGCGCCCTCAAGTCTGTGCTGGCGCCACAGCCTCCCCGAAGTTGGCTGCATCGCTACAGCACCTGGCTCCAGGGTGAGACTCTGGGGATGGCTGGGGATGGAGAGGTCCCAGAGGGCGGGGGCGGCTGGCCTGCCCTACCCTGACCTTCTATCTGTCTGCCCTCCCTGCAGGAGTCCAAGCTGCCTTTGACCAGGACTGGGCAGCTGGACGTATCACACACCACTCGTGCCGCAACGGTTCTGAGGACGGTGCCCTGGCCTACAGGCTGCTGATCCAGACGGGAGACGCCAAGGAGCCCCTGGACTATAGCCAGGTGGGTGGGAGGCCTGGTCCCACGGGCAGGGATGAGCCAAGCCAAGCCAAGCCACATTTATGAAGCCCCTACTGTGCGTCAGGCTCTGCACTAAGCTTCTCATCCAGTGTTCACTCACAGCCTTCCTATTGAGAAGAGCTAGTCCTGAGGGCAAGGGGTTTAGGATGTGGGATCCCAACTGTCTGGTCAGCCTGTCCATCCTTTCCAGTGCTGAGCTTCTGGGAGGGAGGCTGGGGCCTGCCTTCAGCCCTCTCTCCCCTCCTAGCTGGACAAGCGGAGGCTCGTGGATGCTGACGGCCTCATCCTGCCTGAGCTCTTCTACGTTGGGCTGACCGTATGGGTGAGCAGAGACCCCTTGGGCCTGGCCGCCTCCCAAGCCAACTTCTATCCCCCTCCCCCCGAGTGGCTTCACGACAAATATGACAGCACAGGCGAGAGCTTGCACAGTGAGTGAGGAGGGCCTGGGGGGCAGGCAGGCCCAGGAATCCGCGTTGGCTCCCGAGCTCACCCAGTCTCCCTCCACAGTCCCTGCGGCCCCGCCCCTGGAGTTTGCCCAATTCCCTTTCCTGCTGAGCGGACTCCGACAGACGGCGGACTTCGTGGAGGCCATTGAGGGGGCCCGGGCTGCCTGTGAAGAGGCGGGCCGGGCGGGGATCCGAGCCTACCCCAGCGGCTCCCCCTTCCTCTTCTGGGAACAGTACCTAGGCCTCCGTCGCTGCTTCCTGCTGGCCGTCTGTGTGCTGCTGGCCTGCACCTTTGTGGTCTGTGCCTTGCTGCTGCTCAGCCCCTGGACAGCTGGGCTCATTGTGAGTGCCCCTTTCCCTCTCACTTTGGCCACGTGCCTGGCCCAGAGCAGAGCATCAGCGTTCCCATCCCTCCTCCCCTTCTTCCTCCCTCCCAGGTGCTGGTGCTGGCCATGATGACTATGGAGCTATTTGGCATCATGGGCTTCCTAGGCATCAAACTAAGCGCCATCCCCGTGGTAATTCTCGTGGCTTCCGTGGGCATCGGTGTTGAGTTCACGGCTCATGTGGCTCTGGTAAGTGGATGGTCTTTCCCCAGAAGCCTGGGGCCCAGGAGGGCTGTGTGTTGGCCCAGTTTGGAGCCATGGGATCCTGTGGGGGCGGGGTTCCCCTAGATGAGATGACACCCACCCCTCCCCATGTCTATCAGTTGAGTCTCAGAGGGTGACAGGGTCGAGCTGGCTTTCTGAGCCACCCCAGCTCTGCCTGGCCCCAAAAGACCCTGAGCAGAGCTGCTTCCAGTCAGAATGGGCCACTACTGGGAGAAGCAGCTTCCCTCTCCTTGGAGGCCCCTTGCTCGAAGGTGGGATGCCCATTTGTCAAGGACATTTTAACGGGATTCCTGATCAGGTCCTAACTGGACTGAGGTGCCCCCAAAGGATCCTTGGCTCTGAGATGTTGGGACTAAGTCACCCCACCCCCAGGGCCTGGCTGATCCCGGTAGAGCCCCAGGCCCCAGCTCCCTGCCGTGCCCTGGAGGCTGGGAAAGGAACCTCAGCTCTCTCCTCTTCCTGGGGCTTTCCAATAGCCAGGCCAGCTCAGACTTTGAAGGCCTCCCCCCAGATTATCCCTACAAAAGTGTCCAGCCCAGAGGCTTAATTCAGGCCTATTCTGGGCCTGTTCCTCCAGGGCTTTCTGACAGCCACGGGCAGCCGGGATGTGCGCTCAGCCCAGGCCTTGGAGCACATGTTTGCACCTGTGATGGATGGGGCTGTGTCCACGTTGCTGGGACTACTCATGCTGGCTGGGTCAGACTTTGACTTTATTGTAAGGTATGGCTATCCCCGGCCCCCCTGTAACCCTCCCCTTTTCTGGCCCTGGCCCCCAACAAGACACATCCCCACCTCCTCCCCAGGCCCTGGGCAATAGGGGCAGCACATGGTGCTCCCCTGGGGGAGTGCCCTCCTTATACCAGGATCCCTCTGCCCTTTCCCCCAGGTACTTCTTTGTGGTGCTGACAGTTCTGACGGGCCTGGGTCTGCTTCACGGGCTTGTTCTGCTTCCTGTGCTGCTGTCCATCCTGGGACCCCCGCCCCAGGTGATTCCCCAGCCCCCTCATCCACTGCTGTCCACTGTGGGATCCCCCTCCCCCCACATCCCTTATCTCCATCATGGGGCCCTTGTCCCAGTGACTCCTCCATACTCACACATCCATTTTTGCCCCATTCCCTGTGGGCCCCCAGGCATTCCTTTCCCACAGTCTGGGGACCTCTCGTGCCTGTCTCTGCTGCCCCCCTCCCCTCTCAGAGATGAAACAACAGGAGGACGTGAGCCCAGCTCAGCTCAGCTCTGGACCCACATCTCCCTTCTGCTTCCCCCAGGTATCTCTGCCAGATGGAGGCAGCCACCTGCCCCACCCTGACCCAGTATCACTGCCCCTCAGTCCTCCTCACTTCTTCCTGGGCCCGAGCCCAGCCTTCAGGGGCCCTGAGACAGGAGCAGGGGATGCCTCCAGCACCTTCATCCTGCCCCCAGCTCACTCCCACATCTTGGTGGAGGCCAGCAAGGACCCCAGCTTCCCGACCATCACGGTGAGAGTACTTGGCTGGGGTGGCAGGGAGAGTGAAAGGCCTTGGCTGAAACCCCACTGGGGCTCACCCTGCCCTCTGTCTCCCCCACAGGTGGTACGGACATACAAGGACAGCCCTCCTGGACCTGGCCTCCCCTCCCTCACAGCCACAGGGGGAAGTGAGGCCCACTGGGGGACGCATGCAAGCCCAGGCGCCTTTACCACTCTGACGGCCTCAGTCACTGTGGCCCTGCACCCACCGCCACTGCCAGGCAGCTATGTCCAGGAGGTCTCTGAGGAACCCGGGCATCCTATGGCCACAGAGCCCAAGGGACCTGGCCCCCGCTGCTAGGATGGACCTGGCAGCATCTATGCAAAGCAGCTCTGATGCTGTAGTATCACCTGCCTCCAAGGGAGGAGTGTGTGAGTGTGTGTGCGTGTGTGTGTGTGTGTGTGTGTGTGTGTGTGTGTGTGTGCACGTGTGCACTCTCGCACCCACCTGTCCAGGTGTCCCTGAGCACCTCGGCCCAGGCCCTTCCACAGCTGCCCTGAGGGCTTCAGTGACATCTGCACAGGAACCCATCCTTTCCTCTGAAGGGTCTGTCCATCTGTCTGTCTGTGTCCCTACCTGCCCCTCTCCTGTCCCAGAAGTTATTTATATGAAGAGATTTATTTTTGTAAAGCTGATGGCTCAGCTGTAAATCTTATTTTTAAAGAGTAAATATATACTTATCTATTCTCTATACCCTCTGGGATGCCTTCCTGGTGTTGGGGCAGGGAGCCACAGTCAGGGCCTAGGTCTGAGCACCATCCCCTGGGGCTTGGCCAAGAGCTGGATCTGCAGCCCCAGAATCAAGGCTGATACTCGGGGGCCCCATCTCGGCCCTTCAGGTAGCGACTCCTTCCGGATGGGCCGGGAAGGCTGGGTCTGGTCATGGGGCGGGTCAGCGGCCCTGGATATGAGTCTGAGCCCCTGCTCTGCTGGTCCCACGGCTCCAAGTACTCGGCCATGTGCCCTTGACCTTCAGTGGGAGATCTGGTCTCGCCCACCCCTGACCTGACAAAGGAGGAAACTGAGACGTGGAAAGGGGCTGGGCCTCGCTCAAAGCCGTCCTGCAAATCTGTGGCGTGGCAGGGACTTCCCAGGCCAGGGCTCCCTCATAATACACATGCCGTTGGGCAATTCCCGACTGCTCCACAGGAGTTAGCCCCCACGTCCCTAGCAGCCCTGCTGGGGCCACTTGGTTCCAGACCCCTCAGGTTCAGAACCCAGGTCCTGCTGGCCCTCAGCCTGTGTCCCAAGTCAGGGAGAGGGGCATACAGCAGGGCCTTTCAGCTCCCCAGGAGATGCTGGGCACCAGACTGGCTTAGTGATGGTACCCTGGAGGTGCCGGTACCCATACGTGCCTGCCTCTCCCCGGGCCACCTCAACACCATAGGCCCTGTAGGCACAACCTCCACCCCCAATGAGGCAACATGACTTGGAGACTAGAAGACCAGAGTTCAAAATCCACTTCAGACACTAACTGACTGCATGATCCTAGACCGGTCAACCTCTCTGGCCTCAGTTTCCTCATCTGTAAAAGGAGGATATTGGACGTGGCCCCCGAGTCCATCTTCCACCCTTAGAACCAGGCTGCTTCGCCGCTCGGAGCCCGTTTGTGGACATGATTGCCACGCTCTAGAGAAGGTCTTCCATGGCCACTGAGGTCCAGCAGGAAGTAGGTCTGTGGTCGGTGACCCCCAGCACAAATGCCTAGGACCATAGCATCCCTGCTTAATATGAGGGGCTACCTAATGGCTCCTCTAACAGATGAGATAAAAACAGGGAGCCAGAGCCATCCCTAGTGATGTCTGTGCCCCTGGTGCCCTCAGGGAGCCACTCCCCCCGGGCACAGCTGCTGACAGGAGGCTGACGAGATGTCAGGAGTCAGCGTGCCCCCCCCACCGGGGACGAAGCTCCAGGCGCTCACCCGCCCCCTTCCCCTCCCGTCGCGGCTCCAAATGGTCCCCACTGCACAGGCCTGGGAGCTCGGTCACTTCCTTCCTCTCCCAGCCAAGATGCCTTCCTCTGAGACCTGCTTCTGCCTCCTCCAGACAGTCGTCCTCACAGTCATCTCCTCTCTCTACCCCATCTGCTGGCTCCTCCCTTACCACCTTCCTCCCCCTAGACACCTCAGTGGACCCTGCCATCCCCTCCAGCTGTCATCCTCTCTCTCTCAGCCAAACCCGCCCATCTACAGTGGGCACCTCCACTCCCTCTGCCCTCTCCTCAGCTCTCTGCTTCGGACCTCATCATTCAATGGAAACGGTTCTCACCAAAGTCACCAAGGATCTCTTAACTGCCAAAATCTAGTGGCCTTTTCTCAGTCCTTGTCCTTGCGCTTCCTGCAGCATTTGCTCACCCACCCCACCCCCCTGCCTGGATATTTTCCTCCTCCAGGTTTTTGTGACACTGCTTTCTGTCTCTGTCTCTTTCCTCTCTGTGTCTCTGTGTGTGTGTCTCTCTCTCTTCTTTGTGTGTCTCTGTCTCTGTCTTCTCTCTCTCCTCTGTGTGTCTTTGTCTCTGTCTCTCTGTCTCCCTCTGTCTGTCTTTCCTCTATCCGTCTGTCTCTGATTATCTCTGTCTCTCTCCCTTTCTCCCTCTCTCTGTCTGTCTCTCTGTCTCTGTCCTCTGTGTCTTTGTCTCTGTCTGCCTATTTCTGTCTCTTTCCTCTGTCTCTGTGTCTCTCATATCTCTCTCTCTCTCTCTCTCTCTCGTCTGTCTCTCTCCCCTTCTGTCTCTGGCTCTCTCTCCTCTGTGTGTGCCTTTGTCTCTGTCTCTGTCTCTCTGTCTGCCTCTGTCTCTGTCTCTTTCCTCCGTGTGTCTATCTCTATCTGTCTGTGTCTGTCTCTCTCTCTTGCCCTTCCCTTCTGGGAAGGAGTCTCCTCCCAAAGAAACCGAGTCAGCTGGTGGTGCAGTATCCACTCCTACACATTTCCCATACACAAGGAAGCTGTGAAAAGAAATCAGAAACTCGAGTCCCCACCCAGAGATCACACTCTGCAAATTATAGCCTGTTTCGATATCTCCCTTCCTTGGACGCGTTCCCCATCCCTTTTTCTCAGGAATCTCAACAATAATGCGAATGTGTTAGCAGCTTAACAGTATCTTATTTACCTAAGATATGCAATGTACATTGAGATACTTAAGAGTATGGAGACTTGAACGTTTAAGCAAGGAACTAAACTAGAAAAAAAAAAAAAACCCCAACAAACGAGGTTAACTGCCCCCCTGTGGGGAAAGGCATTCAGCTCAATCCCCGGGGGAAAAGAGAGGGAAAAGGGGTGGGTATCCGCTCCACATGCCTCTTACTACCTTGGTTGGCCCCCTCCTTTGCTTCTACCCTCTGGCTCCCCCTGCCCCCACCTCCCCTTTGTCCAGCTCTGCCTGACTCTGAGCCTATGAGCCATCACCCCCCTTTGCCACTCCCAAGGTTGGGGCACGCCTCACTGCAGGACACAGAGAAGAGAGATGGTTGGAAAATCTGCCCGGTCGGTATCCTGATTTCCTTGCAATGCCCCTTCCTTCACTGATGGAGAAACAGCCCAGAGTCAGAGGCCTTGTGCTTAGTTACAAAGGGGATAAATGGGAGAGGGGATTCCCGCCCCTTCCCCTGACTCTTCCTTGAGCTCTGCCCTTGCCCTCAGGGAGCACACTGTGCAGTAGTGGACAGGGGACGTGTATGGATAACTAGAGCACAGCCTTATAAAATCTTCAGAGATGGGCAAAGTGTAAGGTGTGACTGGGCTGGAGAAATGGGAGAAGCTAGGATGGGAAGGTGGGAAAGGCAAGCTCAGTGGAGGGTACAGCCTGAGCAAAGACATAGAAGCTAGAAAGTCCAAGGTTCTGTTCAGTGGGCAGAGAGTAGTTTGTTTGGGTAGGCACAGAGAGAATGACAGGAGCAGGAATAGATAGAACTGAAAAGTAGGGGCACATCATATTGTGGAAGCCCCTAAAGTCCAGACTGAGAAGTGTAAACTTTATTTGGTAAGCAGTAAAAAGTCACTGAAAGCTTGGGTAGAAAGGAGGTTCAATAAAAGTTTATTTGGAAAAGATCTGAGGGTTTTAGTGGACCACAAGCTCAACATGAGTGAACAGGGTGATGTGGCAACCAACATACACCATGGAATCTTGGGAAAAATGAAGAGGGTCCCAGCTTCTAGGAACTGGGAGGGGAGGGTCCCCCCAGTATCTAGGTGGTGCCAGAGAAGATAGAGAAGTCAGGAAGACCTGAGTTCAAATTTGACCTTAGACTGTGGTAACTTTGGGAGAGTCACTTAACTTCTGTCTGCCTGCTTTCTCAAATGTAAAATCTGTAAAATGGGTTCTATCAAATGAGATGTTCGTAAAGCACTTAGCACTGTGCCTAGCATATAGCAAGTGCTTAATAAATGCTGGTTTTCTTTCTCCCTCCTTCTGTTCCCAACACTGAACAGACCTCATCTGGAGGATTGGGCAACTGTGGGCACCACAGTTTAGGAGAGATATAAACAAAGTGTACTATGTCTGGAGGGGGGCAGTCAGGACAGAGAGGAGGCTGCCAGACACCAACTGGGTGAAGTAATTGAGGCTTTTGAACCTAGGGAAGTCCGTGGGGGTGGGGGAAAACTACCTGCTAGTGAATACTTGAAAGGCAGTGGCACCTAGCAGAGGGATGGCTGCAGTCAATAGACATGTATAGGGGGGTAGGGCTTGGAAAAGAGATGGAGGGACCAGGTGCTCTCAGGGGATAGTGAGTTTGCACGTCTCTGGAGGTGCGCAAACAATTCACCAGGGGTAGGGATATGAGGGGTTCGTTTGGGAGGGGGAGACTTTTTGAAGTCACTGGAGGGAAGGTTTGGGGACCTGGGATGGAGAGCCTGAGGATGAGGGTGAGGGAGGTTGAGGAGGAGGCACGGATGGAGGGCTGTCTACCCACTGAGATGAGAGGGAGGGAAGGGCCCGGGAAGGCACTGAGCCAGGGCCCTGCAGCAGGATCAGGGTGATGGCTGAATGCCCCCAGAGATACAAAGGAGGCACAGGGATGCTTCTGCAGCCCATGGCCAGGTTGGGGGGCAGGGAATTGCTGCTCAAGGTGTGCTAGAAAATGCTTAACAACCGGCTCATTAAAAAAGATATGCACTGACATACTTTTAAATTTAATCTGCATTATCAAAAATTTCTCCTTCACTTTCATCTAGTCTGGATAATTGACATGACACAAATCAAGCCTTGATTTGTAGCATTTGGGGATTTCCGAGGTGTAAATGCTCACACTGAACATTTAACAATCAGCTTCAGTTCCAGCTGGCTCATGCACACCCCTGGTGCTGCCTCCAGGCACTCTGCACCCCGGGGGCAAGTTGGGTGCAGAAAAGAGCTCCATTTTCTTTTGGGATCCTGGCCAGGATTAAGCACCTTATTCCCACTGAGCATGCCTGTCCAGGTGACCTATTTGTATTTTTTCTTTTCTTTTTTAAATGGCTGAAGGTCTGTTATTCTTGTAACCAAGTGGTGGAAAGGGGGTGTCATGCTGCCGCCCATAGGTGCCCCTCCAAATCACCCTACGTCCTTGAGAAAGCCTCTACACCAGAGGTGTCAGACACAAAGCCAGTAGGTCTCCTGAAGGAGAGGCCAGGAAACATATTTAACAAAATAAATAAAAATAT